TGGCAGTTGACTTCTCACTTCAAACTACCACCACCTCATTCTATGCCATGTTCGACTATTTGCATAGTACTCGCCTCACCTTTTTTTACCTTTGTGTTTGTCTCTTACATCTTTGAAACACTCTTCCGTCCCCCCCCCTCACATCCTCTCGACTTTTTTTCAATTTGATGTTCCTTGCCCTCTGTGAAGCCTGAAGTCAACTAAAGGGCTAATGATAACCATCAAGACGCCTGCCATTTGATATAAATAAACTTTATAACTATACTCCTGTTTTATACTTTTATGTTCAAGCAAAAATGCTTTATTTTCTCCAACTAAATCACTATTCTCATTGTGATCTTCATAATGTCCTTAATGATTTGCTCATTCTCGCTGTCTATACTCTTTTGAAATAAATCTCGTTTCTCTTAACTTGTTCGTTCACTCTATAAAAGGCATTCCAAACAATTTTCCTCAATTTTTCATTGGAGAGACAGATCAATTTAAATATGTTTGCATTCGTTTTCAATTTTTGAGTTTTTTTAATTATGCTTCCAAATCACTGCTACAAGTCTCTCAATTTGTACCTATCTGAATTATTCATTTTCAACCCAATTTACTCAAAGAAATTGAACAAACTAAATCGTTTCACTTATTCATATTTACTCCACGTTTACTAATTTTAGGTGATTTACTTCGACGGTCTTTTTTATAAGCTTTGAATTACTGTTAGAACTCTTCTCAGTGTTGAAAATTATAAAGCATCTTTTGTTGTCATGGTAATCAAACGAATATAATTACCTATAAAAGACAAATAAACCATTTACTTTACAACGGTATAACTGATTTTTTAATCCCTTAATTATAATTGATTTGCGAAGCTTTATAGAATGCAATGATTTGCATATTTGTGTGTAAGGATGCATAATCGAATATCTTCGTGACATTTGAGGGAAATTCATTTTTAAAATCTCATGCACTAGGCTATTGATGAATCAAGTGTCACGCCCACTACTAGGTAAATAAGACCACCCATATAGAAACCGTTGCTACAATTATTGGTTAGACGAACAGTTAATCATTTTTTACTTATTCCATCCTTATAAAAGCCAACTTTGTCTTACAATAAAGATGGGCACTTAAGAAGCATGAGCGACTGCTGAAGGGTAACTTAAAGGTTTATAGGTATACTTACATCGAAATACTACCAGTAAATAGCCTTCTTATTTCTTAACCCAAAATTGATCTTCGAATATCATAAAAATTGCACATCATAATGATGTAGATTTGGGGTGTGCGATAGACCTACTTCCACGTGGTGCACCCTGGGCAACGTATACTCATACGACAAAAAGGTTTATATACTGGCAGTTGACTTCTGACCTCAAGCTACGATGGCCCCACTGTATGTCATATTCTATCACTTCCACAGTACTCATCTCTATTTTTTCCCTGCCTTGTGTCTGTCTATCTCTTTTGCATCTTTGAATTTCTCTTCTGCTCACCCTCTCGAATTTTTCTCACCTTGATGTTCCTCCCCTATGTGAAGCCTGAAGTCAACTAAGGGGCTAATGATAACTATCGAAACGCCTGCCATTTAATATAAATAAATAAATGATGTAGATTTTCTATATCTTTAGGATGCTTGCTTAAAGGTTCTCATTTTAAAAGATAATGGGTTTTAATTCTGGAGCAATTGCAGTTATTTGCTATCGAATCTACAAAACAGTCCATGTTCAAAAATGAAGATGTAAATAAGGGAAAGGCGAGCCAAATTATCATGTGGCTGATATCGAAACAGCTTCTAAATAGCTATCTTAAAGGTTATTTTCATTTAATCACATCATATTTATTTATCTCAAATGGCAGGCGTTTTGACAGTCACCATTAGCCCTTTAGTTGATTTCAGGCTTCACAGAGAGGAATGAACATCAAAGAGAAAAAAATCGAGAGGGATGGGGGGAACAGAAAAGTGTTTCAAAGATGTAAAAGAGATAGACACAAAGGTAGAAGTCGAAGTAGTCGAATATGACATACAGTGGTGTGACGGTAATTTGAAGTCAGAAGTCAAATGAGTATACGTTGCCCAGGGTGCACCACGTGGGGGTAAGTCGATCGCACACCCCTAATCACATCACATAGAAGCCTTTATTTGCTTCAAGCTCTCTAAATGAGTAATAAGGTGTCTTATGAATTGATATCGAGGAATTTAACTATTCTATATTAAACTCAAGAGTAGAGGTATTAAATATCTATTTTCAGGAATAGCAATCTTTATTAACTTGAAGGGTGGTGGCAGTTAATTAATAGGAGTTCATTAGCTGCCTTCTTGCTTCCCAGTATCTATGGCTTTCCGCCGTTGTCCTTAGGGCTGGACACCGAATCAGGTGGGTCTTCTCCATTTCCTCCTGTAGGTTACATAGGGGGCATGTGGGCTGAGTGTATACTCTCAATCTGTGAAGGTGTTTTGCCAGGCAATCGTCCGGTGCGTAGTCTAAACTCAGCAACGGCTTCGATTCTTGGCCAGTCGGCTATATCGGAGAGTGTCACTGTCCACTGTTTCTCCTTTGTTCGAGCTTTAAGTTCGTTGCACCTTGAGGTCTTGAGTTCTCTCCTGATTAAGGTCTTCATTGTGTGGAAAGACATCGGCCGGTCCATGCATTGCAAAATCGTTGTCCCCTTCTTAGCAAGTGTGTCGGCAAGCTCATTGCCTTTAATGCCACAGTGACCAGGAATCCATTGAAGGACCAGTGTTTTGTTTTTCTCTCTCAGCAGCTGATAGAGTTTTTTACATTCGTATATCTCATCTGTTTTGGGTGGCTCTCTGCTTTCAATTGAGTTTATTGCTGACTGTGGGCCCTAAAGTATCACCNAGAGAAAAAAATCGAGAGGGATGGGGGGAACAGAAAAGTGTTTCAAAGATGTAAAAGAGATAGACACAAAGGTAGAAGTCGAAGNAGGGTGGTGGCAGTTAATTAATAGGAGTTCATTAGCTGCCTTCTTGCTTCCCAGTATCTATGGCTTTCCGCCGTTGTCCTTAGGGCTGGACACCGAATCAGGTGGGTCTTCTCCATTTCCTCCTGTAGGTTACATAGGGGGCATGTGGGCTGAGTGTATACTCTCAATCTGTGAAGGTGTTTTGCCAGGCAATCGTCCGGTGCGTAGTCTAAACTCAGCAACGGCTTCGATTCTTGGCCAGTCGGCTATATCGGAGAGTGTCACTGTCCACTGTTTCTCCTTTGTTCGAGCTTTAAGTTCGTTGCACCTTGAGGTCTTGAGTTCTCTCCTGATTAAGGTCTTCATTGTGTGGAAAGACATCGGCCGGTCCATGCATTGCAAAATCGTTGTCCCCTTCTTAGCAAGTGTGTCGGCAAGCTCATTGCCTTTAATGCCACAGTGACCAGGAATCCATTGAAGGACCAGTGTTTTGTTTTTCTCTCTCAGCAGCTGATAGAGTTTTTTACATTCGTATATCTCATCTGTTTTGGGTGGCTCTCTGCTTTCAATTGAGTTTATTGCTGACTGTGGGCCCTAAAGTATCACCACTTCGGTGAATTTCGTATCCATGCAACATAATTGGCTTAGTGCTATCCTAATGGCCTCTATTTCTCCTTCGAAAGCGGATCTATTGTGCCCCGCTGCATGGACTCGCCCTCATATTTAAGCCTGAACAGTACAGTTGTGATCTCCTTTCTTTAGCAAAAATAAACCACCAATCGGTTTTGCGCTGTCATCGCATAATTAAGAGGTAGTACAGATTTCGTCTGACATCAGTGAACAAGGATGGAAGAATTTGGCATGCGAGGAGGCAAGCCTAGAAAGATGTTTTTTCCATTTTATTACAAGATATTTCTGCTTTATTTGTAGCAGACGCAACTGAATCATCTATTTCGCTGTGCCCATAAAATGAGGTAAAATTGAAAGTCTTATAAAATTATGCTTGTGGATAACCTCCACATAGAGAGATAGAAGTATTGTATTTTAATTATGAATCACAGCAATTGAAGGCAGCTTAAAGCGGCTAAAAGAAGGACTGTTAAATGGAAAATGAGTGTAAGGGGAGAAGATATTGCGAGTACAATCAAGGCATTAAAGAGTCCCTCTTCTTTAAATTTTTTTATTCGAGAAGCTCACTTTCTAAAATTTTAATATAATAATCTGCTCCCTGAGCATTTAGCGATTTTTTTCAAAATGTCCAATGCTGGTTAATTAGGATGGTAGATTATAGTACATTAATTTGCCGCTTGCCCTCCAGTCGGAGAAATTAGGGTGATCTTGCATGACCTTGTCAGCTTTCAAGGTCTTAACGTAATAGAGCTGAGACAACTGAGACAGAAGCAAAATTTTATGCTTAGCACGCGTCTATCAAATTAAGGGCCACGAAATCGGCATTCATTGGTCCATGCCCAATGATGTTTAGACCCAACCACAATTTTATTTTGTACCAAGGAGAGACTCTTTAGAACACGATTTATTGCAGCATGCCTCCCCTATTGCCATGATTCGTACCCTTTAAAGACTTGAAGGCAGGTGAATCAACCCATCCAACTGTCGATTATATTTTTTTAAAAATTTTTAACTAAGAGAGAACTGACTCAATCACTCCTTAGTCAATAGTTGTGCTGCTAAGTTAACAAATATTCTGGTTATTATTTGCTTTAGTAAAGACTAGAATATAAAATTAGCTTCTAAAAGTTAAGGTTTATGTCCTGTGTGTTATTTATAAATTATTGGAATATGATGTTCATTCCCTTGTAGCATTAGTTATTATATCTACATTATCAATTTGGGACTGACGCTCATGGATATGTAGCGGATTGCTACTTTATCAAAGCCTGACTGACTCAGAAATCTCTTTGGCAGATCTTCCTACATCTAGCTAGACCCCCGGAACCAGCTAAGCTATAACCCAGCTATAAAGGAAACAGACGTGTAGCAAGGAGCACGTTTATTCAAGACGTATATTACGGATCAAGTGTACACGCATGGAGCTACTCATGATCAGGATGGGGGATTAGGTTAAACAGAGGTTGATAATTGCTCACTGTTTGTACGGTCGCTGCACACAGAGTTGTACGGACGCACCTCCCAATCCTGGCGAGCATACATGCGGGCATACGATGACGCGCACAGCGATAACGTGCCCCACAGATATTCCTTCTCGCAAAACATATAACCAGACTTTCAGTGATATTCTTATTGTCCGTTATGATTTCTTCACTTCCAATGCTTCATCATTCTCCACTAATAAAGCATCAAGTTGTCACTGATAATAAGTAATCAGGAATATAAAACAGGGTGGCATTCATTGCTTTTTGCCAGGAGTTAGAAGAGCTATGCCAATGACTACGATCTCTCTTGACTCTTTAGTAGAACGAGTTTTATTATTGTGAATGTGTTTGAGTAATTAGAATGTGCCTAAAAATCCCACAATTCCAGTTTGAGGCGATATAGATTATCGAAACAAGCAACTGCTCATGATGTTAATCCCTTTTCAGGGAGGTAAATCATGAATGGGGTATTGTAAAGCATCACTTCCTTTTACCCTTCAAAATAGGATTTGAGGAATTGGTTGGCCTCCCAATGACCAGTATTACATTAGATGATATTCCATTAATAGTTAAACAATAAACCACAACCCTTGGAAAGCACCCCGTGAACGCCACTCAGCTGCACTACAAACATTCGACAAGGCCATCCAATTTTTCACTCACCGAAGTTATCCATGCCTACTTCACTGAAGTGAGAATTTAAGCTTAGCACAACCCCTATTTTATAGGCAAACACATACAATCGACGCCAATAAAATAACAAGGATCTAGTCACCTTGTTCTCGCCTATCTGACGAGTTGACACCAGTAAAAAAATAACTGATTTTCAATATTTTGTGAACTTTAATAACCACTTAACTAACTTACTATGTGATTAATGTTGATCGATGCCGTACAATAGAGGTCGGTATGCACCCACCTACTGCCATTCTGATTAGGGAATGTTGGTGGACTTCAAGGTCTTTTAGAATAACTTTTTACACTGACCACACAGAATCAAACCAATTCAATCACATGATTTCAGATTTTTAAGGAATAATACACCCAAAATCATCAGTTAAAAGGCTTCGACAACAAAATAGGCTCACAGTGCTAATAATAATAATAATCTAGGCATCACCCAGTTATCGAGATCATACAAAGTAGGGACGAAATCTCATGGAAAGGCAAATAGAATATTAGTCGGTTAATGCATTTGTTTGTTGGCCTGTAAAATAAACGCCAATATATTATCTTATAGTGGGCTAGTGAAGACAGAGATATTGCTAGTTTATTGACCTCAAAATCACACTGCTTGCTGTCAAGTAAATGTTGAAGAAGTGGGGGTGTCTAGGCCATCGTGTCCCGTCGCATGATAAAATGCCTTTTTTAGAAAAGATAATCTGAGTAAGTTATTTTTTCATAACCCTCTTTCAACTGAAATAATTAGAAATCTACCAATATTATCGAGATGCGGTCTAGACTGGGTAGATTCTCGTTAAACTCGTAAATATCCAGCTACATGGCAGATATAGGAGGAAAGTCCATTGGCGTCCAAATAAAATGGTTTGACAGTCACCCCTCTAATTGTTAAATCATCGACTTATTTGGTTTATTAATTCAATCAATGATAACTAGACCACCTTATACAGTACATATGTATAATACCATTTAGCTAAAATGTGAAAAATCAAATATTAATTTACGAGACGAATTTATTAGGAAAATTGTTTTGAAATGCTAATTAATGGTAGAATCGCAAACAAACCCCTAGTGCACATCTTGTGCGATTGCTTTCCATTTGCCTTTCCCATTGGCTCATAGATCATGCGGGTTAAACCAAACCATAAATCACTTCGTTGTTTGTAATTTTAGGTCAGAAAATTTTACAGTGCAACGCTTTGAACATATTTGCACTAAATCCGAAAAAATGTCCTTCCACTGCTTATACTCGGCGGTTAGTTTATAAAGATAATGGTAAAATGGGAGTAAGGATTTGTAATGATGCAAAAAATAAGTTCACCTTACAAACACTAAAAACATCTAAAGTGCAAAGGTATTAACAGAAAACCTAAAACGACATATATTAATACTGAGCCAAATTAGTAGGGCTTGCTAAAGAGCTTGATTTATGTTGTTAAACACGGGGTGTGGGATAGACTTACCTCCTCGTGGTGCACCCTGGGCAACGTATACTCATACGGCAAAAATGTCTATTATCCACCAGTTGACTTCTCACCTCAGACTACCATCACCCCCGCTGTATGTCATATTCTACCCCTATCACAGTACTCATCTTTCCCTTTCTGAGCCTTTGTGTCTGTTACAGTACTCATCTTACCCTTTCTGAGCCTTTGTGTCTGTCTGTTTCTTTTACATCTGTGGCTCTCTCTTCTAGTCCCCCTCCCGAATTCTTCTCACTTTGATGTTTCTCCTCCCCTCTGTGAAACCCGAAGTCAACTAAAGGGCTAATGATAACTATCAAAACGCCTGCCATTTGAAATAAATAAATAAATTTTGTTTTCAAAACGTGAAGTCAGCTAAAGGGCTAATGATAACTATCAAAACGCCGGCCATTTGAAATAAATAAATAAATATTGAAACTTCATTATGAACCATTTGAAATAAATAAATATATATATATATATTTTGAAATAAATAAATGTTATGGCATTGAGTGACTCAGCTAAATGGCTAATGATATCTATCAAAACGCCTGCCACCAACTAAAGGGCTAATGATAGCTATCAAAACGCCTGCCATACCGAAGTCAACTAAAGGGCTAATGATAACTATCAAAACGCCTGCCATTTGTTAAAAATTAATGTTGTTAAACACAAATTCTACCAGTGATACATAGGGTTATTGTACCACATTCTTGTTACTTCCTTAGAGGAGCCATAATAGTAGTGTCTAGCCCAAACCATATAAAATTCGCCCGAAGTGGTTGTGGTCAGTAATAATTCCAAAAAATCACCTCAACGATAATCACGCTAAGGTACTGAGTCAAGTCAGCATGACTAAGGGTAGTGAAGGGTGTAGCGTTTTTGGGAGGCCAAATTACCGTAAGGGGGCACAGGAAGTACTTAAGGCAAACATAAATGATTATACAATGTCGCAAGCACGAAGTGAGTCCAGCTATCGATACACCACTATGTCCACAAGCGAGACTATGATTTCATTGATTTTTATAATTAAGCACGACATAAACCAAAACCTGGTAAAACACCAATATGACAGGATTGCTATGGATTAATTATTGCAAAATCAATTATTAAGATTAATTGAGAAAGCGTTTAAGCTGTAAATAAACTCTGTAAATAAAATCTCTTCTTTGTTGTAATAAAGGCAGCAAATTTCGATTTAAGCCCAAATGATCCATGCACCCATTGAGAATTGTTAGGCTACAGTTGACTCAAACCCAGAGAAATAAGAAAGGAGTACAGTTACTCCAAAAGGCTTTAAATAGAAATGAAAACTGTTATCATAGTAGTCGTTTAAATAAAAATTTTAGAACTATCAAAGAAAATGGACTCCTGTATTGGTCAGCGGAGAGGACAACCTGCGGGAAACGATTATCCCGCTACAAAGCAAAAGCACTCCAAGAAAGAACTTGGTTTTTTGGAGTTCCGTCAATTATACGAGCAGAATAGGAGGTAAATAGGGAAAAAAGATACACAATGTAGTGAAATATAGATGTTCATACTTGAATGGGGTTACACTGGCATCATGTGTCGTTGGTCCCTCACTTGGATTTCTAGATATTATTTGCCAATTCATGGACGCTGGATGGCTCTTTCATTGCAGACAGGATAAAAATGACTTTTTTTGGGAAGACAGTAATTTTCATTGGCTGATGAGATCATAAGCGTATACTACCACCTCCCCATGCATACTTTTTACAAAATAAATCCAAAAATTAGAATCTATATATGAGAAATAGCAGTACTAATTTATTATATCTCTGTAACTAATGATATTAAAATTTATTTAAGAATTGTTTGATCTCTTAAATTTAACCACCACCATCATCATCATCATACTAAGCTTCAATAGCCTGTATCAATTAAAAGATAAATTATTGTGCCAACGCAGTTGCCATCAGGCAGTTGGCTTCTTATTGGACGCGCTTTCCTAAAATTACTTGCTCTTCCGAGAAATTTTTGTTTGCGGGAAATTAACTCATGGGTTTTATGCTTTAAACGATTTAAAGAGGACGAACTCAAGTATTTTCAATAGAAAATGCCCAAAATTGACAAGTAGAAAAAGTTTTATCAATGCCACTTTATGCTACTATTAATACAGATTTAAATCACAATGATGTGTGTGTGTGTGTGCACGAATAAATTTTGGAAGTGGAATTAGATAAAAATCATCCACACACTTATTGAAACGGCCTAAATTTTACATGTCAGATACTTGATACCGACTCTTCTATTTCAACTGATATCCCAGTTTATTGCGTTGTTCACATTGTTTAGGGAATTGATAAACGAAACTGCAGGTATTTTAGTTTAGAACCTTTTTTTGTTTTGTATTTCACTAAATTATCCTGAGAGTTTACTAGCTGTTTCAATAAATGGGAGGATTTTGAGGAACAACAAAGGACCGCGAGCGATTTTGAATGTTCTCAAACGGTTGTTTTCTCCTTCTTGCAAGTATTTCACTCACTGGAAGTGACTTGCAGTCAGAAGCTTATTGTTTTTTTACACAAGCACATTAGGTGGGTTTTTGGTTTAAAACACCTTGAGTACTTTTAACCACTCAAAGTATGCGATGCATGAATGTCTTCACTTTCACCCGAAATGAGAGTTACTGTAACAAGTATTTTCGCTGACTCCTCTTTGACCCTTCATGTGCAAATTGCTTATGTCGAATCTGGATTTCGAAGCTCTTAAAGCCCATCCACGTCCTATTTACAACCAATGAGTATTTTGAATTGTCATTGGTAACGCGATATCAAACAACTTTCGAAAGTGGGGTGTGCGAAAGACTTACCTCCACGTGGTGCAGCCTGGGCAACGCACATTCCAACAACAAAAGTCTTTTAACCGGCAGTTGACTTCTCACTTCAAACTAACATGACCCCACCACACAGCACTCACCTTACCTTTTTTCTACATTTTTGTCTGTCTCTTTTACATCTTTGAAACACTCTTCTGTTCCCACCCTTCCCCCCCCCCCTTGACTTTCACTTTGATGTTCCTCCCCCCTCTGTGAAGCCTGAAGTAAACTAAAGGGCTAATGGTGACTTTCAAAATGTCTGCCATTTGATATATATAAATAAACTTTCGACAGTTACCTGAAGCCAGTGTATAATAAGAAAAGTTTTGGCCGTAAGGCATAATTTTATCAAAGCATTACTTGAGGAAATCTGAGTGGATGAATTGTAGCATTTCGAAAGTTATCATTCATTTGTTATTTTTGCACCATGGTAACTCTATTTAGCATAAAAATACAGCTTGTAAAGCGAAAATACTACGTGTTTAAATTTTTGAAAATGCTAAGATTTATTAAACAGGATTACATAAAAGAGTGAAGGGATCTGTCACGGAGTCAGGTGGTGTGGTTCAGAGGGGTTGAAAAATAACCAATTAAGAGGCAATAAAATACTGTCTTCTTGCTAAAGTGCATTCACCACTAAAAATAATGGGAAAGGCAGATGCATTGCAGAATTTAATACGCAGATGTAGAGTCATTTTCGTAAACTGGCCATAAGTGTTAATTTATTTTAGATTTGCACATTGGAGAGCAAATTCAATTTATATTTATATTTAGAAAATGGAAGTCAGCTGTTAATGAAAAATACATCATATCATGACTATAAAACTAACTTAACATTTACACTTATCACCATCAGCCAGTCGAGGACAGACAGTAGGCCGTGAAAAAAAATGTAGAAAACCACGTAAAACGTGCCTTTTCCCGTGCACACTAGAACATTCTGTAGGGTGCTACTGATTGCGTAGCGAGTATGTATGGACGCATGTACAGAGACCTCTCAGCCAATCACCAATCAACGGTCGTAGAAAACGCGGGCAGTACTAATTACCGTTGATGAAAAGGCTTCGTGAAACTTTGCAATATATGTAATAAACGTTTATATTCCATTCGCTCTATTACTTCAACAGCGTTGACATAGCCTAGGTAATTTCGAGAGGAATTGTATACCGGTGGCGTTTTCCGGAGGGGATTGATAAGGTTTAGTCGAGGCATATTTATGCAATATCCATTTCCACAGAATGATGTAAAATTCATATATTGAGCACTGGCTAATATCTGCTAAGTCAGAAGCAACGAGATCGATGTTGCCCAGTGCAAATTCAGTAGAGTGACTAACCAATTCTGGTCTGCAAGATGGTTACCAAAGTATGAGTTTATAGTCTGAGCGTCACCGGGATACAACCCTTCGACCCAAATTAAGTCTTATGAACACTACCATAATAATTTCGGGATGTCGATTGCCTTTTTAAAATTGATTTTAAATTAACCACATATTTTGAAAGGCTGTTCTAGTATATGAGTTGATTAAATAGAAAAATACGTGATTTTGAGAAAGGGAAATTATTAGTCTATCGCCTCCATGTATTTAATACCGTTGATCTAATGGATAACATTGACATGGTTTTAAATAAAAATTAAATGAGGTAAACCTGTTAGCGGCACAATTTGATGTAAAAAGTTACATACTTACCCAATTTTAAATTATTGGAAAAAGTCAATTGGTGAAAACCAACATTTATGTATGAGTAACGAAAGTATTTCTATTTGGAGTAAAGGGCTGAAAAAAACATTTATTTGATAGGGGTTATTCCATTTTTAGTCACTCGGTTGATTTCTGACAAAATATCGATAATATATAACGCCTCATTGTAAAATAATTCCAAAATTCACTTGACAAAAGCAATTAAACTCAAATAAAGCGAGCATGAACTTAAGTGAGATTATATTAAAGGCAAAGTATCATCAAAGCCACAAAATTCAGTGACAGACAACATCTGAGGGTGTAAAAAGAGCGCAAGCAAAACGGAAGGAGACAGAGAAATGCAACAGAGGGTGGGAAGTAGGGAAAAGGGAGAAAATATACACATAAGACTTGTAAAAATTAATTTAAATTGATAAGCGTCCATAGGAAACAAAAGGAAAATGAGTATGAAAAGTGCCTAAGGTATAAGTAATTCGGTGAAGGGTTATTAACATAGCAAGGTCAAACTAGATCCGGAGATCCCGGTTCATCGGCTGGGACAGGGATCTCCTGTCGGTTGCAAATGGGCCTACTTTTGTAAGCATTTTCCATAGGAACAAAGGCGAACCACTGAAATGGCAATACATAATAAGTTGACTGAGAAATATAAGGATTCACAAGAACAATATGACGAAGAAACAAGTATAAGTTACAAATATAAAGAAAAATAGTGCATAGCAATACAAAATTAACATAAGACTGAAGATGAGAACAAAATTCTGCTATAAATACTAAGATAGTACTAATTGGTTAAAGTATATGCGTGAACATTTAGAATACGTACTTTAGATATCCGGTCAAGTTCCTCCACAACATCTTTAACTTTTGTAGAACACACACAAAGAGGAATAAGAAGGACTTCAATGGCAGCCAATATAAACGACAACGGCCATGATATTAGGAACACAAAAATCCACGCGAGAGAATTTAGAATATTAGCACACGAATAGACCATCGCATATGAAATACCCGAAATTAGACAAAAAGGCCGTAATGTGGCGAGTTTGTATTCGTCAAAACCATTTCAATGTCTACTAACAGGATAACCTTGAAGATAAAAAGATTTGAGATAATTAAAAATATATTCCATTTCTCATATAAAATTGCAGCTTACAAAAGAAATTTAAAGCTATAAAAGATAATTTATAAAACTATAGAATAATTCAATGTATAGATATGTGCTAATTAGTAAAGATTTTATTCGATTAAAGTTTTGTGATCTTTATGTACTTATAAAGGTTTCAAAGTGTCTGTGTAGTAAATCTCCCTTGATTTTTTGTCCTTTTTGCAGGTATTTTGGTGCAGTTTATTTGATCAAATGGTCGATCGCATCGCTAGCATTTATTTATCTCAAATGGCAGGCATTTTGATAGCCATCATTATCCCTTTGGTTGACTTCAGGCTTCACAGAGGGGAAGGAACATCAAAGAGAAAAAGTCGAGAGGGAGGGGGAGGGGTGGGAACAGTTGAGTGTTTTTATGATGTAAAAGAGACGGACAAAAATGTATAAAAAAAAGTAAGGTGAGTGCTGTGGAAGTGGTGAAATAGCACATGCAGTCGGGTCATGGTAATTCGAAGTCAGAAATTAACTGCCGGTTAATAGACTTTTTGCCGTATGGGTATATGTTTCCCAGGGTGCACCACGTGGAGGTTAGTCTATAGCTCACCTCGCATCGCTAACATTCATTTGGTGATTGAGTAACATTTAGAGCAAGGTAAGAAACGTGACACAGAATTTCAATGTCACAAACGAAATTACTAATATTTATATAACATCAATCAATCGTTGGCTAGCACACAAATATCCTATTTCTGGCTTGCCTCTACCATTGGTCTATACATTGACGTTAGCTGGTGATTGGGTGTCTAAAATGACTCTGCCCTCCTATTGGTCCCTTGTGATTTGCTAGACTAGCCTAGTTTTCTTTTATATCGAGTAATACATATCCTCGCCCCTCAAAGTTGATATGGATTGCGATATTCAGGTCCATGATTTGTCCCAACAACTTTCTACATTATCTAGTGCAGGTCAAATTCAAGTGACTGTAAACTGCTTTACGGACTCTCCTTATCGTTCTCTTTACAAAAATACGAAGCCTGCTGAGGATCAAGCACGTCGTTGGAGAAATGAATTGTTTGAAGCTGAACGAAACGCTAAAAGGAAGGATAAATTTAATAGTAATCGTGACTTGAATCTAGTCAAGAACCCCTCGCCAGAGAGGCCTGCTAGTGAAATCGATAAAAGTGGTGATCAAGCTGGAGATCACTCGATGATAATGCTCGCCGAATGGTTTTTATTCATGCCCAAAAACTTTGAAACCGAGTACCTCTTTAAATTATGTCCCAAAGGTCGTCATGTTTGCGTAGTGGCCCGGGAAGGGAGGACGGACGTTTACGCAAAATCGGGCTTCCTAATTAAGTCATTTCTTTCTAGACTTCCTGGTGGGGGTTTGGGCCAAAGTTCTATGAGGATGTACCGAGATGAGACAGTTTTGGATTGCATCATGATTGATAATCGTAAAAAGGTTAATCAGACCTCTTCCTCCTCTGAATCCACTGAAGTAAAGCTTATATTTATGGTTCTCGATTTAATCTACTTTAAATCTACTTCCTATGATGAAATTACTGTAAGTGGGTTCTCCTTATCTCTAATTTTTCTTTATTGCTCTAAGTTATTTGAACTTGCTTTAACGTGTGTTTAGTTCTTCGAACGATGTGAATGGATGGAAAACTATCACCGACCGAACATCGAAGCTTTTGAGCATACTGACCCCGTTAGATGTCGTTATTTTATTTATTATCCACTGGTGCACTTAATTACAGTTCTATTTCCTCTTTTAGGTTCAATTTAAACTTGTTCCTGTTTATGGCTGTGATAAAGATACCATGGGATCGATGTTTTCCTCTCCTCCTCCGTTTGAGGTATTCAAATTTTATCATATTATATTTTTTTCTTTTCTCTTTATACCCCTAACGTGGTATTTTTTTATCGGTGTCTGAGTGATCATTATATTCAGGATGAACGGTTTGTGACTGGTTATTTTTGCATATATGTAGGGTGTAGAGACATTTATACATACCTCTTTTCGAGATAGAACAACTTTTTCTTACGATTAGTTGGGAATAAAATTAGTTGCTTATGTTACCTTTACGAGAGTTTGGGATATGGTTAGATGCTTTTGAAATCTAATTTGATATGTGTTTGCTGAAATAACAGTTCTCAGACCTTTTTTATTTAAGTATTATCCAACGGTCATAATGATTGTTTATCGACGTCATAGGTCCTCTTTAATGTGAGACTCGAGTTCTGCCATCTAGTTGCCAGGTTCCTTCACTATTTTTGGCTTTTGCACTCAATGGAATTGAACTTGTGATTTTTGACTTTGTGTCGTGGACGATGGACGGTCAGTTTTGAAATGAACTGAGGCGACACCATAAGTCTTTCACGAAACTTGACTGCAGAAAGTAATCATAGCCTTAAACTGCAATGCTTCAAATAATTCAAGTAATTCTCTTTTAGACTTCATTATTGTAATTATTATTTATCGATATTCAAAGTTCATTAAAATTGTTTTTCGTTTGTGCTATTTCAATAACTTTCTCATGGTATACGAGATCATAGCTGATATCAGCCAAAATCAGCTTACCTGGGTTCAATAGAGAAGTAGCTTTGGTTCTTTTGCTTAAATTCCTTTCCTTTTCCAATCTTTCTCTAAGATCTGATAGGCTTATTCAGAAACGCTCAGGTTTTTATTGGATCTGGGTAAAACTAAATTTGAGGTGCATGCAATGGCAAGATTTCTGACTTTCTTGGAGTTACCCGTACTAATATTCCCCCCAATTGCCCCTATCTCTGTTCTTTTCTGTTGACATAAAGCCTACTAATCTAAATAAGTAACGATTTGCTTTAGGTGTATATGCTCATTCATTGATTCTTCTTTCATAACTCGCGCCGTTCTATCAATATCACTAACATTTTAAGCTTATTTGCCTTATTTATTTCTCAGCAAATTGTACTACTTACAAATTCGAGCTATTCCATATTTGAGTACGTATGTCGTTTCTGTTGAAGAGTGGTTTACTTTATGCAAACTCAGCTCTATTGCAAATAATCTAATTATTGGGTTAATTTTATTTATCTGCAATTTACTAACAATGTGTGGAATAAACTTGGTTTCAAGCACTTCCTGCTCATATTTTTAGTGAAGTGAGTGGTTGCTGTTATTTGTAAGAAGAGGAATGTTTCTTATCTTCTTTACATGATGTTGACATACAGTAATGCATTTTTTAAGTTTAAATTGTCACTACTCACAATTTTACCAGAAATATTATTTTTCCCCATTAAGTTCATGAAATCGGTAGTTTTAAGCCACCTTATTCCTAGTATTTGATTTAGTTCAGATGGTTAGCTGACACACTCGGTTTTATCCCATTAGTCTTAAAAGCTGCTTATGTATTCACACAGACAGACGCATAGTACTATTTTTGTCATATCAAAATGTCGTTCATCTCACCATACTGACCACTACCTCTCCTATTGGTATAAGATCTGAAGATGGGTTTGGTTAAGTAAGTTGACTTCCCTTTGGTCAGAATTTTGGCAAGTACTTTCATACTGACTTGGGAGATCGCCAACTACTGTTCTTCAGAAGCGATGTTTCTTGTCTCATATATAATTGGGGCAGTTAGTTTAAACAGAAATTTAATCTGTCCGATGGTGAATTGATCGACCTCCAATCATCAATAATGCTAATCGTTCTTTATATTTCTCCAAATTGTTATTGTTAATTTACTAGATTATTTTAGATTTAAACAGTTCTTCAGTCTGTCCTAATTCCCTAAAACTTTTTTTGAGATCAATTTTTTGCTCTAAACCAAATGCTAATTGGATAGAACTTACTGTTTCCCCTTCATCACTAGTAGATTTATGCTAGTGTTAAGATGATAAAAGGGGTTGAATTGTCAAATATGACAATCAGTAAATCTTAATAATCTCATGAAAAGATTGACATTTTCGCATCCTTTAAGTGGACTACAAAGGAGGTGTAATCAATCAGCTTTTGCCTTTTAGGTGGACGGTATTCTATTCTATCATTCATGCGTATCCTACCATTATGGTCAAACTCCTCTGGTCGGATGGGTTAAGCCGTATATGCTCCCCGATTGGTTTCCTTTCCTAAAAGGCACTCTTCATCCTATCTACTTGGCTGAAATGCCTGAGGATTACAAGGATATTGCCACGGATATCATCCGGCATAGAGAGCTGACAAAAGACTATGGTGCTCCCCTCCAAGAAAAAATTGAAGGCGAGGTTACATCACCTTCCTCTTCAAACCAACCGGAGGATGTGGAAATGGCCGATGTCTGCTAAGGCATTTTTTTGTAAATTCTAGTCAGTTACGATTGTGGGTGACTGTTGAATAGATATTTATTTTGCTGCTTCATCCCATATAAGTGTTTTAGCATGAGCAATTGTGGTTTTCTTATGTTTTCTTTCAAGGGAAGAGTTATGCTCGTTTCATACGATAATGGGGTCAACCTAAAGGTTATATCAAAAGCCAAGGGATGTAGTGTTTTCCAGGAAAAACGTTTAGTGGGTAAAGGAAAACCAACGGTTTCTGTCCAGCTAAAATTCCGATTAGCACTGCTTTAGCCTTAAAGCATTCTTGATTTGAACAATCGCGAGTATTCCGTTCAGTAAAAGCTGAGCTAAGCGCCCTCAAGATGGGGGGTTTGCAGTTTTCTTAATTTTTGTAATCTCGCATTTTTAAATCCTTTTTATAAAACTTTTCTGATAGTGTACACCAAATTTGTCGATTTTTTAAAATTGGCTGGTTTTATCAATCTCTCAATTTCCAAACCTGCTAGTTGTCAAAATAATTGTGCATTTCAGCTTAAAGCATTTTTCTTTTAGCATAATTTAACCAAAACAATTATTTTTGATCTCTTAAGTGGCTTATTGATGAGAGGCTAAAGCGTGTTTGGGTCACTAAAGTTATGGTAGATGAAGTTGCTGAACTGTCGCCTTTTTAAACTTATGCGTCCTTCTCCACAGGCATGATGTAAAAAGGGCAGAGGCTGTGATATCTATGCTTCCATTAATAGAGTGTAAATGGGACCTCTCTTCGAGGTAGTTAATTTAAAATAAGATTACGTTTAAAGAAGTGGGCATTTCAAAATATGTGAGTTGGAAAACTGGAACAAAAGTCATAGCAACTTAATAAAAGAAGGGTGTGTCAGGAGTGGTGCTAGAAATGAAACCAGAGGGCTGGTAAATAATTGACAATGAACTTGGAAGAATAGTCGAAAGGTCGCGTAAAACTGACGAAGTAGAGGGTATAGCAATGCCAATGGCCTTAATCCCAAGTATGGCTGTCATGACATATTACAGACAGCTCGATTCTGCCTTGTACATATTTAACATATGTTAGTACTAGTCAATCGTATTTAACAATAGCGCTTATTCATTCGACCCCCCCCCCGGTTAAATCTCAGTTGTCATTTTGTTAAGCTCAATATGTGTTCATCCCGGGCGATGTAAGTGAACTTAGAAGTAGTAGTACGTTAGAGATTGTGTAATGTTACCAACGAATAAAATATTTTTTTTATTCAATCTAACGTAACCACGACTGATTATTCATAAATAAACACTATTAAATGTAGAGTTTTTAGTCATAGACTGGACTCTAAAATTGACTTGCGCCTCACTCCACTGAAAATTCCAACTTTAAAGGCAATTCTTTTCATCTAAAGCAAAAACTATGCATCGAAAGAAGTGATCACGTACCTTGATCACATACAAAAACACTTGCTCTCAGTGGAAGCATTTTTATACCCTTTTTTCTGTTAAATACATTCCTTTAATTAAACTAGACTTTTGAACTGAAAAGCACGTGGGAGATGGCTAGCTCTCCACATGGATTCAAGCAGAGGCGTTCTCCAATTTGTGATTTATTGCCCCAATTCTATCGACTTGTTACTTTTCTGACACATTTTACCATAACATATTTAATACTGAAAATAGTCCACTTATTGTAAATATGCGTTGTAACAGATTCCTTTGAGATTATTAAGTAGAGGTAAAAGGAAAACTAGGAAATAACTTGATTTGCATATTCTACCGTTAAGGCCTTATTGGCTTAGGGTTAAGATCAGTTGAAGCGGCTGGGTAAAATTCACGTCACCACTAATTATGAACAATCGATTTTATAAACTACTAGGGTTCTGCTGACGAGCCTCATTCCACTACCGATATCGAAATGTGGAATGCAAATGAGCTTCAACGTTCGATGAACCTAAGAGACTGTTTTTAAAAGTATCGCAGAGGCAACTTAGGAATTTTAGAGCTAGAAGTTTAAAGGCTGCCTAAGCTATCAGATTTACAGCTTACTAGGATTATTAGTGCACTGGAAAGCGATAAGAGCCCCACAGTTTATAGGGAAGATTCACAAGTCATGAGTGGAAAGTGAAAGAAATCGAAAATCGGAGAAAAGGAGTATCCAGGGTTACTTCATATTCAAGCTAAGGATTCAACGACGAGTTAAACCCAAACCCCTTTAATGTGAGCACCACAAAAGAAGATAAAAGGACTTTTGCCCTTAAAATGCGTAAGCCACATTTTCCGAGGAGGGTATTCTTCTTCAAGCAAATGAGGGCTTAAATATTTTTTACTATTTAGATCAATGATTTTTTTAAGGCGAATTTAAAGTGAGTGTTGGTTGAGCCGTCAAACCAGGTCTTTCTACCAAAAGTAAAGCTCAAGATGATTGTTCTTCAAACTTCTCCATCGTGAAAATTACCAGTCCAATTTTATTCTGGAGTCCAAAGACTGAGAGTTGGCAAAATATGTGTATTTGGACACATGCACACGTAAAGCTCAAAGGAACCTGTATTCAAGGGTGCCCATTTTTTTGATAATTCTAACAGATAAATAAACGAAGGGAAGTCTCACGGAAGTACTCTGTGTCTTAAGTGTTAAACAAGCTGCAGGCTTATAATGCGTGATGCCAACGTAAATATAATGAGTGATATAGTATCTATAATTCAATGTAAATAGCCACTTTAAGAGTTCCATAACATTGGACTGGATGCCATCTTATAGAGCTTATGATTTTCCCAGGGCTACAAGGGAATAACAGCCGTGAGGGAGTGGGGGGGGGGG